ATCATTACGTAATAAGAAGTGTGTAAATAATTAGATATTGAAGAATACAAACGGCAAGAGGCGGAAAATTACAAACAAATACTAGGTGTGAAAATAAGGTTAATGATAACAAAAATAGAATAAAATATATAAATAATAATTTTAAAAAATCGTTAGTCAAGTTAGAACTGGCCATGGAGGAATAGGGGGCTTACGAGTTTCTTCTGTACACATAAATTGGGGTTATATGTACGAAGTCTTGTGGCTTCAGCTATACGTAGGAAACGGGAACGAACTCCGTTGGGAAATGACGGAGGTATACGATAGATCACCCGAAATGATTTCGATTTATCTACAGCATGACCACTATCAATAAGATGTGCCAAGATAGAACTGTGAATTGTTTTTATCTGGCCCTTTATAAACCAAGCTAGTAGATGTTCACTCATTCATTGGTTAAGTTGCCTGGTAGTACGCCCGATATAGCTATCTTCACAGGAGCAGCTGAATTTGTAAATGCACATTGAGGAGGTCAACTCAGGTAACTTATCCTTCGTTTGCGTAGATATCGCTGGTCGACAAGAGTAAGCCAACGCAGGATTGGCTGCATAGAATGTCCTGGTGATTACTTTCGTTAACCTGTATTTCGGAGTATCACTAGCCACATCCCCGTTAAATTGTAGTTTCATGTATAAAGGTTTCTTAGGAACAGTCGAAATCTCCGACTTCTTTATTACGTCATACATTTAATTCTTAATGAAGGCACTGGAGTAGTCGATCTCAGTCGGTGAGTTGTTGATGAATTCAAGCTCCTGACTTAGAGTGTCTACTGTGCAGATCTAATTTTCACAATGGGAATCTTTAATATTCTAAAATTTATAAGTACATCAAGTATATTAACGCTTAAAACCTCTTATCAACTGATTTCTTCAGACAATAACAAACTTTCATTCTAACCAAAACACTAGATATAAAGATACAATTAAAACTTTAATAAACAATTATGAGTATAGTTATTATTTTAAATTATACTGAATAATGATAATAATAATAAACAACATTTGTAATTGTGTGTGTGTTTGTTTGTTTTTCTTTCCTTTTTTCCTCCAAGATTCTTTAATTTATCCAGAAATTTATGATACTCATAAAAATTTACATTCATCATTTGAACATGATCAAAATGAATTACAAACAAATTTATTTTCTACTATACAACCTATTTCATCATCTTCATATTCAAATATGAATTCACCAACTGGTATCAAAATTTTAACTTTAAATTCAATTAATAATAATAATAATAATGCGAATTCATCATCAGTTGTATCATCATCATCATCATTCAATTCAACAAATATGGATCTAAATCAATCACAAACAAATTTCATTTATAAAATACCAATTTATAGTTCAAATAAATAAACAATAATAATAATAATGGAAACCGATCATAAGCATAAAGCATATTTTATAAATAACTATACACAGATATTATTTATTATCCTTAATATGTTGTATTATATAACTAAATAGTTTATGATCATAATGATTAAAAAGAGCACATAAATCAATTAGTGATAATCATAAGAAGAAGAAGAATTTAAAGAAGAAAAAAAAATGAAAAAAGAAATAGATCAATATTACCGTATATTCGTTGTAATAAATAAATTATAAAACTTTTCTTTTTTTTTACTATTCTATTTGTTATAAATAATTTTAAATAAAAGTAAGAATTATAAAACTTTCATGTCTCAAACAACAACAATGACGACAACAACGATGACAACAACGACGACAACAACAACAAAAAGGATATTTGATTTATATTACAATATAAGAAATGAAAATAGAATGAACCTTAACACTGAGTTAAATAGATAATACCAATGAAAATTTCTTTTTGTTTTTTTTTCTTGATAATTATGAAAATTATTAAAAGGAAAATAAGAGTTGAAAAATTGACTTTTCTTTTGATTAAGAAAGTATCATAAAAACAACATATAGATATAGATATTACTCTGAATGAGAATCGACTATATGGTAGTGTAGTCAAACTAATAGATCATCTAAATGTTTGTGATATACATGTTCTCTCTGTGTGTATGTGTGTGTGTGTGAGTATGTATGAACAAAAATGTATGTTTTTTTGCCTATTTATATGATAAGAAAACAATAAAGTTCACACACACTAAGCCATATAAAATATAAACAGATCGATTGAATGTTATATATATATATATATATGAACCATCTATAAATTGTATTGTTTCGCCATTTTTGTGTACTGTATTTTGATCAACTTCGTGTAAAATGTGTTATCTTTAAGTAAATAAAATGTGTGTTTTTTTGGAAATAAACTGTAGTTCATTTTTATTGAATGATGTAATTTGCCATTTTTATGACGTTTCATAATTTAATCAAAGAGGTATTATATTCGACAATCTCTTAATACAACATAAATTGTTGAATCTCATCAACTAGTTTAATATATATTCTCACTTATATTAAAAAGTACAACAAATTCTGATCAAGAATTAAAATATCTGTAAAATGAAAGTGTAAGATATCTAGAACTGTACAATCGTATTATTTGATTATATTTTCCCGAAATTGATTAATATGATAACAATCGATTAATGCTTTTCACTAAAACTGTAGTAATGTTTGGGGACAGTAAACTATTGGATATTCTAAATTCACTTGGTGTTGTTTTACTTATATCATCCCATTGTTATTTGGGACTGCGATTGGTCAGTCTCATGTTGGCATATATGCATCCTGTGCGGATTACCTCGATATAGCTCTGAGTCACAGGTTTTTTAAGCAAAGATGGATAGTGGTTAGCAGTGGAGTCCAGGACACGTGTTTCGTCCTATTTAGAACTCGTCAACTGGATGTACCTGCATCTCACATTGGATGTTCACATAAGCAGGTGATTATCAGGACTCAGTAGCTATGTGGATAACGCAATAGCGTTCGAAGCGAACGGTACGGGGTTCGACTCTTCACCAATTTAATCAAATTCAAAATAGTAATTTTTAGGTTTGAGCATACAGTTTAAAAGTTAATATTAACTACCGCAGTTTGAAAATAATACTAAAAATGAAAACTTTGTAATTACGATACGAAAAGAGTTCATTGTATCATCGTAGAGTAAAAATGACAACAAATAGATAGAAGAACATCAAGAATATCATCTGATTTTTATGGATATTATGTTAACATAAATCAATAAACACTGGTTCTTTCAGCTATTAATCCAATAACGTGATGATTATTACACTAGTTAAATGGCGATTTCGATGCTCACATATTAGCAGATAGTCAGTAGATTATTATTACATAACTACTAATTGTCAACCTGTTAACCAGTGTGCAAGTAAACAATATGAGTATTTATAGAAACATTTGTAAAAAAAGCTATAACTCATTGGAATTTAAAGACGCAAGTGGATCCTCTCGGTGAAAATGGAACGTGTGATGACTGAATTTTTGAATTCAATCTCCGTATAATTTATAGATGAAAGTAAACAACACCTTAAAGTTATCTTTAAAATTACAAGGACTAAGATTACGTCTTTATAAATGGAAAACTATATTTCCTTTTTTTAAATAAGATACTACCTTTAAATTTATTCTCCTTAAAGATGATTTGACAAAGACCATCAAACAGTGACTCTGAGTACGAACGCTAATATCCAGTACTTCAAAATGCCTTGTGGTTTACATTCATTACAGATATTATCGTTATATTGACTTAAAACATAATGGTGTCATATTTAGTCAATACAAAGAAACGACTGAATAAACAACTTCGGCTTGTGAGGCAAAATTAAGAAACATATTTCTAGTCTACAATATATATTGTACATTACGTCATTACAAATATTTTTAGACAAATTCACGGTATGTTATTCATGAATATATGAATAAAACAAAATCCATGTGCTAGTATGCACTTTTTTTCTCACTTGCCTTGTCCCTCATTGATCGTCTTATCTACATTACGTGTACAATGTATTCATAGAATTTTAGGACTTACTATTTAATTATCTTAGTCCTTTACATTTTGTCGATTTTAATTGTAGAATTTCTTAGGCAATACAGAAAAGGTGAAAATCACTTTCATTGTATGTATTAAGAGTAAATGTAGTTTCTACTTCAATATTTATGAGAAATATTAGAGAGACTATAATCTATGGACGGGCCAGACATAAGATAAGAGGTCTTGAATTTTTGCGCGTAATTCATTCATCTATTTGGCTAAATAGTGTTTTGGCATTTTAGCTGATACCAGCTCATGATGAAAACCCTGAATCTAGTTCCTAACCCCAACCATCAACCGTAAATCATAATTTTAATTTACCATTTAGTCCTGGTTAGCAGGTGGACTGGATACCATAAGCGACAGCCTACTATGAGACAGAACAAACCAGATTCCAGCTCAAGAGGAAAAGACTCTGAAAGTGGATAAGACACACATTGAAGAAATCACCAAACTGCATCATGAGACATGCTCTAACTTAGAATCCTGAAGGTGAACGGAAAGGAAGAAGACCAAAGAACATACTGCGTCGAAAATTAGAAGCAGATATGAAATAGATGAACAGCAACTAGAAAGAACTGGAAAAGATTACCCAGAACAGAGTTGGATAGAGAATGCTGGTAGGCGGCCTATGCTCTTCCACTATGGATAACAAGTGCAAGTAGTAGTACGTGGATACTCTCAAAGTCACTTTAGCATCTCTTAAGGGTCATCATAAATTGTAGTCTTCCCAAAGTATTATTTTGAATTGAGTAGTACGTATTTACACATCAATATTTTTCTATATCCAAAAGAAAATCTTGAATAAACATTTTTTGGTTGACTCAATGTAATACTACTTAAATGCTTTTATGTAAATAGGTTTACTATATACAACTAGAGTATAGTTCACAATACACATGTAAAACAACTTTGAGTATTTTTTTCTAAAACCATTATATTAATCACTCATTTATGCAAAATGTAACATTGAGAATTAAGCTTCATTACTTCCAAAATATTGATAATAGAATGGAATGTTTTCATATAAAATCTTTTTACTAGAATTCAATGACAAGTGTTGAACTGTATCCTTATTACTATAATCTGGTGACATTGGAATATCATTAATATTGGCAATAACATTATTAGAATAAACCAATAAGTCATTATAAGTTAGTTTGAAATAATTCTGATTTCTTATTAAATTACTTTTAGGTTTATTATTTTCATAATTATCTAATGAGAGATTATTCTGTTCTAAATATATGGTATTATTCATTTGGATATTAGTTGTTTCAATATTAAGATTTGAACAATTATCAATAGAACATATGAACTCTTTCATTATTTGATCACATTCAATTGGTTTAAGAAAACTAGGTGAATAACAATCAATCGAACTAATTTTATCATTCATTATCATTTTCTGGCATGTATTATCATTAAGTAATACATCATTATCAATGTTTATATCAGTATTATTATACTGTGTATCAAATGTTTTATTATTTGATTTTGCCAATACATTACTTTTCAATGAAAGATCTAATTGTTGATATTCTATGGAATTATTATTCAATGAAATGTTATTTGATTCTTTATTATAATTGTCAGATATATGATTACTTACAGGCATTACTTTGTGGACATTTGTATTACCATTTATGATTGCATTGGAAAGTTTCTGAAATGAAATAAACAATGTATAAAACGTTGATATTTACTGATAAACATCAATCAAAATAATAACTCAGCATTGTTAATATGTTAAAAATTAGTTTAATAAAGGAACAGATAACAAACATTGAGGTATCATGTTATCTTGTTTTATTATCATTTTTTATTATTTCAACACATAAATGTTAGTACAACAGGGCACCAAATATATATGCGCCACACCATATTCGTGTGTGTGGGCTGCGATACTGCCCGGGTGCTCAGACCGGAGCAGGTGGTTTTCTAAGGGGGCCACACCCCGAGCCTTGGACCTAAAGGTCTGACCCACAATGCAGTTTGAACATCATAAGGAGATTCATTCCCATGGTAGCCGGTGACCAACGATTGGTTCATACGCCATTTGTTCCCGCAGGACACTGGAGCCCATGTGCACCATTGGTTTGTGATCCAGTTAAAGCGCCGGACATTCGCTTTTCGTCCTCTCATTTTCGTAAACAACACCCCCGCCACGAGAAGGCGATGAGTATGACTTCCCTGGCAGAGGCTGTATACGCGTGGCCGTGTGAGAGCATTTCGAGAGGGATGGCAGGCCCACCCCACTCTCGGCCATACCAGGGCATTTGGGGGCATCTAATCTAAATGGATCACCAAAAATAATTTCAAACTAAATGAAACGAAAACAAAAGGCTAAACAGACAAAACATGGTTCACTTATCACACTAAATATAAGTGAGGTACAAAAACAGTTTTCCTTAGATAATAATCTTTATGAATATGTAATCGAATACTTACCTCTTCGCTAGATGGGATCATATGTGATGTGTAATTAGAATTAGTATCCAATTGATAGTCAGTTAGTCTGTTTGAATTTTCATTTATTGAACAAGAATGAATTGGTGGTATTTTCCTTTTGTAAACTCTTTTTCGTTTAATTTCATTTGAAATAGTTTGTGATTTCTCTTGATAAAGTCTTGAACTGTTTTTAACTTGACTAGAAATCTACCAGTTAATAGATAATGAATAAAAATACACGTGAAATGTTTAGTTGAGACAAATAAGAAAGTGAATAACATTTCATTATTATCGGTTCAACAATCTCTTGACAGTTAAACACTTAAATTTACATTCCTTAGAACTACATTTTAGTCATACATTCTGTGTATCCATTTGATAGTGTAATTCGTAATTACTATTAACTAAACATCACTGAGACTAGGAAACTAAAAGTACAAAGTGAAGGCGAAATATGACAAAGCAATTACGTATGCATAAGAAATAAAGTTAATGAATTTTAATTGTTCACCGGAAATTTCGTCATAAACTAAAATCAGCTAGAAAATAAATAAAGAGTGAAATGAAAATCTGTTGAACAACTGAACTCTTCAACAGTGTCCATACATGATTCAACTAAGGAACTTAGGATCTTGCAACGACCTCATTAGGTTTAGATCACTATGTTATAATCCATTGATCGATAATTATAAATATATCAAGTTTATAATACAACATAATCATCCAGTGTCACCGGTAAGCAATTACCTCAATTCAGATATAGCTGAGCACCATTAGTCACGAACAGTCAGTCAGTCAGCTACAACGTAGGACCAGGCACATATGTGCATCGGTCCAGGTTGCCATACCTCATTAGCACAGCAAGATGAACACCGGATTCATAGAAGTAGTTAATTCAATGGTGATAATATAAAAAAGAAAGATTCCATATAAGGATATAGTACAGGAAGAAAGAATTAGTACGTAGAAAGAAAGATATGAAGCGATTTTAATCTCTTAGTTTAAGGGAAGATAGAGAGTGTATACACCTACGCGATTGTGATCGATTCTCAGCCATGTCACCAAGAGTCTCCAACACTTGGTTACAATAGTCACATGGACCCCAACCAAGTAATCTGCATCTACCAACATGGCTCAGACCAGAAGTTAGTGACTTCAAGCACGTGGCCCAACCATCTCAGTCGATGAGGATTCACAACCTAATCAAATGATTTACCATCATTCCCTAATACCCTGCGTCTAACCTCACTATTACTTACCCCGTGATCCCAGCAGACGCCAGCAATATTTCTGAGGCATCTGTGGTCAAATGCTAGTAGCTTACGAGTGTCTTCTACTCTTAATGGCCATGTTTCGCAGCCGTAAAGTAAAACAGAACGGACTGCCGCGCAGTATACTCGTCCCTTAATTGATAGACGGATATCTCGCCTTCGCAAAAGGTGACGTAAGTTGGCAAAAGCCAAACAAGCTTTTCGAATCCGTGCTGAGAGAGTCATTAGTCACGAACTGATATAAATGACTCTGCTACAAGATTACAGGATCATATTCTGAAAAAACAAAAGGTGAATCGAATGCTCACAGAAATGCATTTTACAACTATGAATTTGTATAAAAATATACATTACAAATGCTGTTATACGTAATTCTTATCAAATGACTATCTATATGATAAGTAAAAAAGAAAAGCACCAGTTATGTATTAAAAACTTTTGATTGTACATTATGTTACTGTTGGAATTCGATGAAAACATTTTTTTAATGTAGATAGTTTATTGAAATCCAGGATTCTTGCGTTATAAAACTATACATTTATACACAATTTTAATTAGTCGAAAAACAAGTATTTCTAAACAAAATAAATCGGACGTGCTTAATCTCTCAATATTCAATAAGTCATTAAAAAACTGGGAAATTTTGAGAAACATCTATATAAACTCTTATCATCAGCTTATTTTAGTCAAACAATCAAATGAATTCTCAACCTATTAAAACTGCTAAAAAATATTTTTTTGAAAATAAATCACATATTTGATATTATGAGTGAATAGTCTATGAAATAGGTATATTATGACTTCCTTTTTTAGTCTTTACATGAAATTTCTTTGTGCTTATTATGTAATATCAGTTATTATTAGACTTCTTTGTGTTATCTATCAATCGTCACTGTGGATTAAGAGATGAATATGTAAATTTATCGTTAACTGATAATAACCCAAATAATAAACGTCTGAAATGCCGATAAATTTATACAATAATCCAACTTCTTCATAGAGACATATACTTTTGAGTCAATTTAGAATACTTTTTTTTAAAAGTTAAGACAGAAAAAAGTTGTATTCAACTTCTTTTCAATACAACTCTCAATTTACTGAGATGGTAATAAGGTATTAAAATAAACTTTTGACTTCTATAGAGAGCTTTACTGAAAAATCTATATGTATTTATTGACATATTAAAACAATAAATCACTCAATTAATAAAACTAGATCATTGTGTTTCATAGATAATCCATTTAAGTATATAATAAAATTGGAGTTGAATGGTGATATATACACTTTTAACAATAAAAGATGTCGGAATTTAGAAAATCTAAAAATTAAGATCCATTTTAAAATCTTTCATTTATTTTTCAACTAAATTTTTTCACTGATAAAATATAATAGCGGCATAGTAATCATTATTTATTCATCTGTAACTAAAACTTCAGTTAGATGGATAAAGATAAGATTAACCTGTCAAGAATAAAATGAATAAAATAGAAAAGGAATAAATGGTACAGCATTTAATGGTCGATATCAGAGAAATATCATTAAATGAATGGAAACCAAAAGTTATTCTTTATGATCTACGTAAGTTAAACTGATTATATGAATAAATTAGCAAGATAACATTAATCCCCATTGACATTGATAAGTAGTACAATAATGAACATGATTGATTATATGTATATATATATGATCTCTTACCTAGATCAATCTGAAAATAAACAGTTCCTATATTATGTAATAAATACAATAACTTATTTTCTCGAGTACATGTTTAACTAATGCTAACTGTATAAAAGTAAATAAAAAACTATATAATATAAATTTACTGTATCCATAGAATCATACTCATAATAGAAACATATTTTGCTTAGTATAATACAGAATGACCTTCAATTGAGAGAAACCAAAATTGAATGCAAAACAATTAAACAGTAAAAAAAAGTGTACACAATAGATTATCATCAATATGCTTTCAATCTGACAGTGTCAGTGTATGGTATTGTAATAATGGGTTGATATTTCAAATATATTTTGTCACTTGATCAATAACTAATAATTACCATCTTCTAAATTGCCCATAATCAATGAAGTGTTAGTATGTATGTAAATATTACTGTACATTGTTGTATGAATATGAACTAATACATTCACTCAAATAACAATACGGATGCTAATAGCAACCAATTTATTATTCATAAGCTATGTTATTGAATTACTAGTGAGAAATATTTTAAAAATACTGTTGGGTATGGAACACTAGAACATAAATTAATATCTTATCACTAAAATGGAAATTTATGTTTGTTAATTCGTATACAGGTTTATATATAAATGATCTTTGATAAATGTAAACTTTCTAAAAATCCGACCTATTTAGCATGAACTTTACAAAGTGAAAAATGCTTAATTGATAATATACTCAAACATCAAATTGCTAATGTTGTTATAATTAGTCGTTTGAATACTTATTGTCTTGGCTTTTTTTAAGGCTACTTTTTGTAACTGCTCGTCGCTGTTTGTTATGTCGAGAACACTTATCACTTATACTCGGAACGAGGGACCTCTGCAATTCCCACGACGCGAAAGTAAGAACACAAAGACTGATATAAGTGATGATTTATTAACCCCAAAACATGACGACGACTCTAGTAGAACATACAGTCATTTATACATTGATTGTACACCCATTTTGATTATTAATTAGAATGTAATCACATATATGAAGAATACTTAGAGTTATAACAAATCACAGACTGAGTATAGTTCATGTCAATGGAATACAAGAATATCGTATATTATACAGAATAAAATATCATACGAGAAAAGAAAACATTGAGTAACCATTACATTGAATCAAAACGGAAGTAATCTTGAACAATAACTCATATTGAGTACATCAATCGAAAATTGACTTTTCTTTCCATTATATCAAATGTCGACAGTTATTTGCAGGTTTAAATTATCTTATATGCTTCTGGTATTAGATTTATTAGTTTTAAACAGGTTATATGGTTGTTTTGTAGGTATCTGAATCATTTTAATGTCAATTTAGCCATATGATAATCTTTGAAGCATCATTTAAGGTAAAAAAAAAAGAGTACTTAATTCTGTATTATTTTGTTCTCCATTTTATTGACCATTATGTTTTGATAAATTCGAACAGATAAACTTGCAGTACTGACCACATAATTTGAAGTCATTAGTACTAGGTTGTTTCCAAGAGATAATTAATAATGTTTTTTGAATTAACTTCGCATATGGTTTGTAGTACAGTTAGTGTGGCAGTTTAAAAAATATTGACATTTATAATTTGTCTACTAGTTGACATGAAAAGTAACAAAAAAATTGAGTCTAATATTGATAATGACAATTTTAATAACGTTTCACAATTTCGCTTATGACCATAATTACTATGGTATACGTTGTGATATTTCTTTTCCATTTCTTCTGAAGACAATAGTCATCGATTTTCCAGGAACCACCAGTCGACTGGAGTGTTATTTATTTATTTTATTTAAACACATAAACACTGGTACAAGGAGGCACCAAATATATATACGCCACACTTCGTCATTCGATTTTTGTAAGAGATGAGATAATGCTCCGTCACCCAAACAGAAACAGATGGTTTTCTTAGAGGGTCATATCCTCAGTTTTTGACATAAAGATCTAATACACAAGGAAGTGGAGCAACGTTAGGAGATGCAATCCCATGGTAGCCAGTGACCAACAACAGGTTCATACGCCTTTTGTTTCCTCAGGATCCTGTAGTTCATGTGAACCATTGGTTTGGAATCAAGGTTTTCCAACTCTCCTATGTGAACCTTTCGTGTCCACCAACCGAGTTAAAGTGCCGAACATTCGCTTTTCGTTCTTAACCTAAAAAACACCTTCCCCGCGAGAAGTGAGTTGGACTTCCCTGGTAGTGGCTACATACTCGCGGCTATGTGGGGGAATTTCGAGAGGGAGAGAGCTGACTATCCCCACCCTCGGCCGTACCAGGGAATTTGGAGGCAAGCATGGAGTCATATCACATCGTAAGCGACTAGATGTATTTCTTTATATTCTACGATCAAATATTCTGTTCTACAAAAGAACTGAATTTCAAAAATGACAGTGACTTCTTCCATCTATGAGATAAATATGTTTTATATACTCTTTTCAATAAATTAAATGTGAGCAATTCAAAGCATAAAATTATGTCTTCATTGAAATATTAATCACGTTAACATTAAGATGAATTTCAGGACAAAGTAAACTGGGGAATCCTTGTCTGTTGCTTATCCTTCATGAGGGGTAACATGTGTAAGTACGCAACTAAAAAACATTTGAAATTAATTGGATCGTGTTGTCTTCATAAACTAATGATTTTGTACATTTCACGCCATAAAATTGGTTCATTCTGTTTGAATTTGATGATTGGATGGGACGTCTTCGGCTCCTTCTGAGCCTCTTACAGCTTCCTCGAGTTCACCGGTGGTTCGTCGTCACAGAATTTATGTTTGGTTGTTTGATAGAAGGCTTTTTTTATTAACACTTTTCAGAATTATTTTATACTCCTTACTGAATTACATGGATGAATGGATTTTTTCTGTATGAGTAATAAACTTTGATTTTTTTATTCAAAAATTAATTCGATGATTCTTGAACTATTAATTTCACTTAAACTCTAAGAATAAAAAACTTATCTCAACGATCATATTTCTCATTTTACTTAGATAAAAATTAATCCCCACTGGAAAACTTAAGATTATATTATCTGTTTGTTTAGCACCTACGAATCGATACATAAGAATTGGATAGATGTAATTTATTTACCAGCTACAGATTCATATACTCAACTTTAGATCATACATTATGTGTAAAGGATAATGATATTACTAGACAATACAAATTAGATCCGGTAGAACGCAATTTGAACTTTCTACCTAGTTAACAAAAGTCGAATGCAACAATCAATATGCCACTGCTTCAAAACATAAAAGATTAACCGAGTTATAAACTTTTAACAAAGAAACTAATTTTATTCTTATTTGAAATCCTACATGATATTACTTTAACATAATTATTTATATCGATAATACTACTTGGTTGGGGTCCGCGTGACTATCGTAACTAATAGTTGGAGACTCTTGGTGACATGGCTCAGAATCGATCACAATGGCGTCGGTGTATACACTCTTTGTCTTCCCTTAAACTATGAGATTAAAATCGCTTCATATCTTTCTTTCTACTAACTAATTCTTTCTTCCTGTACTATATCCTTATATGCAATCTTTCTTTTATATATTACCACCATTGAATTAACTACTTCTATGAATCCAGTGTTCATCTTGCTGTGCTAATACGGTATGGCAACTTGGACCGATGCATATATGTTTGTTTAATTTTCAAAAATAAAGTAGAAATTGTATTCTTTTCGTTTTTTATTTGTTTTTACTAGTTTCACGAAATTTCTACGTTTTTGTTTGTCCATTTTGTTTTTGTTTTTTTCGATAATTTCAAATAGACGTTTTTAGAAATAATGAAATAATTTACCGTTTTATAGATTGTTGATAATGTTCATCTAACAATTCTATCTATTTTGTTTGGATATCGTAAGTTTTTTTATTGTTTTACAATCATAATTTTACTCACTTTTTTATAGATATTGTTAAAGTTAATGTACAATGAATGAAAACAATGCTCCGACTGTTATACACTTACAAAAGTGAATGTTTTTTTGAGGAAACAAAAAGAAACAGATACTTTAATATAGCATCTCTCTTTTCTACAATAATTCAGTTAAGAATATCTTCAGTGATATAATGAATTGTTTACCAATAGCTTTTACTACAATGGACAACAAAACAGGTGGGGACAACGGGATATATATTAACATGATATTGTAGTGAATAAGAACATAGGTGAGGATAACCGAATGTATCTGAACACGAAATTACAAAATATCTCACTAAAATCTCAGAACCATACAGTAAGTCTCGGATTTGAAAAATATCAATCCATCGTCTCAAATTCCATTGTTTCTCCATTTTCATACCAACTGCTTTCTGTTCTCGTTCTTTCCTTCTCCAATATATTTTATTCCTGACTATCGCTACATACTACTTATGTGTATATAAATAGCGCACACCACACTCGTCCCCTCTTTAAAGCAGCCGTTCTTGCAGCGGTTCAGCTTGCCGTGCTACTTTCTTCTTCACTGCAGTCTGTGCCATAACCTCCGTCAAAATATCGGGTCTGCGGCGCTCTGAGCTACATAGCCATCGTTATGTACTACCTACGTGTACATAAGTAGCGTACACCACAATATTACAGAATATCTTGATAAGATCTGAGAACCATACAGTAAATACTTCATTTGCAAAATATTCATCAGTTGTCTCAAACTTTATTATTCCTTCGTTTCTATACAAATCAATCTCTGTTCTCGTTCTCTTCAAATTTTCTCAATCTTCTGGCGCCAAACATTCTACGTTTGATTGGTGACACATACTATTTATATCTGTTGACATCAATAACACACACCACACTACTATCATAGTCCGTTTTCTATAAACTTATTTATTACATTTAAGATCAACTAATTAAAACCTATAAAACGGCTGCTTAAATCGAATTAACTGGAGTCTGATCATAACTTGAAACCTGCTGGTTAATACATGAAGGATGGTTTAACTAGTTAATCATTGTAGCATACCCTTATACATAACGGAATTTTATTGATCGTATTATGTTTTTTAAACACTAAAACAGGAGGAGTACACGAAGATGTAATGATTCGTTGAATAATATAAATCGATTAACGTAAAACTTTGATGTGTATTGTCATGTTATATGAAAATAATAAAAACGTAGAACACATAATAAAAGAAACATTTATTTTATAGGAGATATTAGCCTTGTTTCAACAAATATTTCATAAGACATAAGATCGCAAGAGCTTAATACTTTCAGTATAGGCTTGTAGAGTTCATTAAGTTGTAACTAAGATCATGAACCGAAGGTCCTGAATTCGAATCCTACGTGCAGAATCATGGATAAGCATTGCTGAAAAGTGACATACAAATACGAAACGGCCGTCCAGTGCTTCCAAGTTTTCGATGCTGACCTAATATTAATAGGTTCATAATATCAATTACAGCTTAAGATTTATCTAAAATATTTAGTAACACAATTAATCAAGAGTAAATATTTTTCTAAAACAATCTACCTTGTGAATTTAACAAATAATAAACTACTTTTTAGAAAATTTTAATTAAACTATATGTATATTTGTTTGTTTGTTTATTTTATTTATTACACATAAATATTGGTAAAAGAGGGCACCAAATATATATGCAACACACAAAACAATGAGAATGAGGAGAGAAGAAGGGAAAAAAAGGTGAGGAGCTTGAAAATGAACAATAACGAATAGACTAGTGTAATCGGTTTCTTTGTATCCTAACAAAAAAAATTTTAAAGCAATTAGTGTCTTTTATAAATTTCGATAGAACAATGAGAAGACGGAGTTGATCTGAAAAATGTGATGTATTAGCGCTATACATTTCGAACAATTTGGTCACACATATACTTGTCAGGGCATTTTTATATGAAAATTAATAAAGTTCAAACAAATAAAAGTACAATTAAAATAACTAAGGGGAGAGAAAGAATAAGATATTGTCGCGTTATCCTAGGCCATAGAATGACTTAAGGATTACCAGGGTAAATTCAAGGTTATGACAAAGTGTTTTCGTACACATAAGGGGGGAGGTTTAAATTTCCGAATAGCCAAGGCTACAATAAACCTGTGAATTCGTCCTTGACAATTTCTATACAACATTCTAAATGCTGTATTAATGTTAATTTTGTGCCCCGTCTCAATTATATGTTTCACTATCGATGAGCTTGGTTTTCTACCTCCTACATTGATCGGATCATTTGACATACATTGATTTTGAAGCCATCTAGGCTTTTCATATAAAAATACCCTGACAAGTATATGTGTGACCAAATTGTTCGAAATGTATAGCGCTAATACATCACATTTTTCAGATCAACTCCGTCTTCTCATTGTTCTATCGAAAGAAAATTTTATTACAATGAATCTTACCTTAACTGGAATATCTTCATATTTATGATGATATCCATATATTGCTATTCTATTCTAAACAAAATTATTCAAAAATCAAGTATTTAACAATAACAAACAATCATTCAATTACAACTTATTTATTTTCTTTAAATGTATATCAAATTAAAGTAAACATTTCTTCAGTATATGGTTGAAAATTATTAGGAGATGATCATTTAGATTATTTAATTTTTATTTATTTAAGAAAAAAAAGTATTAAAATAAGTTCAAAATAGAAATGGAATTTTATTGTCTATCACTATTGTATTCAATTTATCATAGCAACTAAATAACTTAATTTGATCGTGTAATTTTTTGTATCGAATAAATATTCAATCATTTTGTGTCTTTATGAGGATATTTATAAAATGCAAATTTTTACATTGATTTAAAACATTCAGATATTAGTTGAGGGGTTGAACAACAAGTGTTTATATTCACTTGATATTAAGAAGATACAAGCAAACAATATCAAGTGAATTTAAACTTCACCTCATTGCACAAGCAAATGGCTATCAGGACTCAGTAGTCAAGTGAATAACACGATAGCGTTTGAAGCGACTGTTACTGTGTTCGAGTCTCGGAATGGAAATCAACTCTGAGATACAGGTATATCCATCTGACAAGTCCCAAATAGGAGGATTTCACTGCTAACCTCGATCCATCTTTGCTTAGAAAACAAGCCTTTATGTTTAATTAAAAATTAATGAATCAACTGTAGAAATATCTGATCACTAAATATTGTAATCATTGATATTAGAAAGTACATCTTGATAACTATTCAATCAAGTAATTGGAATAGGTTATTTTAGCAGAAATAGAGAAACATTAAAAAGTAAAATGAATGGGGAAAAAAACAAAAGCCGTTCAAATATCACATTATTCAGCTTATCAGAAGATATAAGTCTAAATGATAGAGATTTTCCTTTAAATTACTAGTGTATTAAAAAAGTAAGTAATATGAGTCCAGAAAAGTAATCAGTATGTTTGACTGTGTTTACATTGGTCTTCAGTAGCTACTGATTAAAGTTAATGAACACCAATAATAGGTTTTTTTAATCTGAGTAATCAAGTTAGCCAAGAAAATAAACAAATATGTAAACTAATAATCAATATCAAGTATAATAGTTAAAACGGTTAAAAGACTTTCCCTTCTTACTTTTACACTCAAAAGTAGAGCATTTTCAGCTTCTTGTCCAGCAGCTTGTAATCTTCTCCAGAATCGTTTAGGCTGGAAAAATATGAACAGAAATGGAATACAATAGTCACTTCTAATTTCTAAATCTACTTCACTTAAAATATATTCGGAAAGAGGTATTTTTCAGCTTTCGTCATAGAAATAACTCTACATAACTGTTGTACACAGATAAACAGATATTGTTGTATCATTCAATCTTGGTACCAAAAGTACTTCTAAGATTTTCGAAGAAACTCACCACAAAACAAAGATAGTGAAATGATAATTTTTTAATCTAATCAGTAGAGAAAACTAGTCTGGATTTGTGTATACTTCACTAAATTGAGAGACTGTAGAGACTTTATCGAAAAACAGTCAACTGAGGCCGATAGGACATACAAAATAAAAGAATTGATCGCTGTGCTTAACTGCTTCAATTTCAAACACTAATCTAAGTGCTGATGTAGGTCAGGCGCGAAAATGAGATTTTGTATTTGGACAGAGAAAAATGAATCCGAAACATCACTGCATTGTTATTCATGACGATTAGAGGACTCCTCATTTTTCACAATCACCTGGTAGGAGAACAATGCTTGAAAATTCAAACAGAAGAGGAATTATTTATAAAATAATGTCTACGCATAAATTAAGAAATGGAAATAGAGACCAGTCCTGAAATCCCATCTGATACTTTCAATTCTGGTGAAATATTATCATGAGCCCTGGCTCAGTCAATAATGTTCAATTTGGGTGCTTCATTGGTACGCCATTTTATTTATACTGCCGAAAAACCATCCGATCTACGGAGTCGGATGCTACCTTTAACCCAAGAAGTCGGTAATAATAATATGAGTCTATTGTTCAAAATAAATAGAAAATCACTAACCTTTCGCCTGTCTTCAAAGAACACAAAAATAATCTCAAGCTACCTAGTACATGGGAAAAATAGATATTCTATTTATTACTATTATTAATACTATATATATATATATATATATATATATATATATATATATATATATATATATATATATATATATTCAAACCTTTAAAAATTGTGGAATAAGAGGGATTCAACAATGAAGTTCTATTTATATATATGGCAATATAACTCCCATTACCCACAAATTATTCTGAGTTCTTACTAATAATTCTTGGATAGCTAGCTTTCAAAAGAAGCCAATTATAAACTTACAATTTTGCTTAAATCCACTTCATTAAATGTGGTGAACTTATGTATTCTGTTTGCCGGAACTTTACTCATTGCCAAACGTTTGGAGTTTAAAAACACTACATAGTAATAAGTCACCTCTCTACTACTGGCATCAAATTCAGCGTATCTTCCCTCACTATTGTAACAAACCATTCCTGGCCAATCTGGATAGCCTAAAATAAGGTTTGTCAAAGAAACATATTTGCTTACTTATAAGTAGTTAAAAGAATTTAAAAAATAAAGGTCAACTAACATGTTAGCTGATAAGCACGAAAACGTGTATACAAAAATTTTTTTAACAGATTGGTACATAACTTAGTTTTGTAAACATAAATGAAATACGCTTCTAAACTTCTGAAGTATTTTAATTCTCTTGTCATTAACTATCTAAGATGAAGTAGCAGACAGTAATTATTGAAGTCGGATTGTGGTTACCAGTGAAATCGAGGACGCTTGTCTTGTCCAATTTAAAACGCTGCATATGCATGCACCTACTTTTCAGTTTTGGTGCCGCCCCTATAAATCGAACCCGGCATCTCTTGCAGTCCCTAGCATCAACAAACAGCTCTTACAAACAACATTAATTAAGCTCACTGTTTGTAGACATAGTCTAACATTTCAAATGCTATGTCGATTGGATAAGAACATATTCACCAATGACAGAAACTCACCCAACCTTTGTAACAGCTATAAACTATCACCAAAACCCAACAAAATATATATATATATATATATAACACTAAATCTACGTTGGACTGTCAGAGATATATTCGATTGATACAATGGGAACAATGCCTTAAGTGAAGAAAAATAAAATTAAAAATAAAATCAATAATCAAATTTATGTTCCCTTACTCAAACTATCTAGAATTTTAAAAGTTGGGACTCTAAATAATACAAACAAACGACCGTTTTTTTGAATACATCAAAACTTAGACTATACGGGGATTCGAATTTAAACGTGATATGATTAAGAGAGTCGATGATTTAGACATGGATTATCTTACATTACTGAAAACAGTGGTCAATGAAACAATCGTGAACGCAAATTACGGAAGTAAAAAACTCAAATAGCATATTATTAGAGTCGTAGATTATTTGAAAAGGAGAATTCATCATTTATTTTCAGGACCAACTAACCTTGAATTTTAACCCAAACAATTGATCCAACAGAAAAATGTTTAAAAATAAACTGATCTCCCTGTTTACCAGCACTTAAATCTTCGGATTCTTCAAAAGGATTATGTATATATTTTTTGGCTGTTGAATTGGCAGTTAATCTTTTGAAGTATTTAGGATTTAAAGTACAAGACCATGAACCATTGAGCTGAGATGGATCATAAACTTTTGGTAGGTATCGCCAGTTAGAACAAAAGTTACACTCAACCCAAGTACCTAATCAATAATATCCATATAATAAAATATCATGAACAAATTAAAAAATGCATTAACTCGAGAATTTAAATTTTTATGCAAATAGCTTGGAACAAGTATACCATAGTAGGTAAGTTTCATTTGCAAGTTAATTTCATTGACCACTGTGCCGTTTAATTTATTTCTACTGATTATAGTGATAAAAATAATATTATTAACCAATGCCGGATTTATACATTCTCAAAAAGCTAAAAACGTACCTGGTAAATCCTGTTTCTCAATAATATTTATGCGCGGACAGTGTGTACTATCAGCGTCTCCAATTACGAGGCTCCTTGAAATTTTGAAGGAACGTTTTTTGTTATTTTTACGGTTGTAACCGTTCGAAATATCTTTCAAATGATTACCACTTGAACTTGGAAAATTGAACGTACGACTTGTCGTCTCATTATATTGAATTTCATCCGTGGTAACTGATTGATTCCCTTCTAGTCTTGAGTATTTGAAATATTTTTCGTATAATATATCTAAAGGGACTGTTGATATCCTATCCAATGTTTCATCAAGAAACTTATCGAAATTTGAAATATTTGGTTCCTATGCAACCAAAAAAATATTCAGATAGTCATCTCAATATAAATGACATGCATTCCACTCTTAATAGGAGTGACCAACTCGTTTACTAATATAAATGTTGTGAACGTTTTTTCAAACAAATTATGAATAAATAAACCGTCAGGGTGCTTCATAAGTAAACAGTATGAATTCAATAAATTTATCAGTGAGATAACTTATTCCATTTGTCAGTGAGCATTCTCCTTAAAGAGTTCAGAGAATTGATAGGATATCCTTACTGTGGAAAGTGATAATGAATCGCTGATCGAATCAAAGTTATTTTTATGGTCACGGGAATAAAAGAAAAACAAAATATTGATAACTACAATCACTCTTCTGTGTTCCTTAGTCATTAGCACCAGAAAAATTGAGTTTCCAGGACAAAACTGGTCAAATTAGTAAACGTTTTCAAAAAATTAACACTATCAGTTACGAGTACTACCTTAAGGGTTCCTGTACTTTTTCGCAGATGATAAAACTTCTAGTAAGTAACAGAAGAAAAGAAAGCCGAAGAGATCAAAGATTGGATAAGATTAAAGACAAATAAATGTTATGATAGATAACAAGAAAAATGAGTAGAATTGCCTTGATGATGATCCGAGGACATTCATCCTTTGCTGAGCGTGTGAAGGCGAGTAAAATAAAACGGTTAAGTGATACTTAGCTTAAAATTACTTGTTCCCATCTGAAGATAAGGAAAAGCTAAACAGGGGGATCTAATTAATCAACTAGGTAGAAAAACTAAAAAGATATGTGTTTGAGACCATATATATGCACTGTTTTCATTATAATATATGTTCAATTAAAAGGATTCGATATATGACAAAGTCATGAGGGAAAAAAGTATCTAATTTAGCCCACTTTTCTTCTATTCATCATTATGTTTCATGAACAAAGGGATTACTAAACGCACAAATCATCTAAAGCTGAAATTGTAATAACTACTATTTAAGTTATCAAGATTCTGTAATAATGTATTTTCTTATCACTGTTACGTCATATAAAGCCGGAAAACAACTTTAGCCTTTATGTGTGTCAGTTACTTCCCATTTAATAAAAACTAACCATCAAGTGTGCATTGTATCTTTCTGACGGAAAATGTTGATGTTATTGTGTATTTTGCAGACATTAAAAAATTGATTTAATGTAAAAAAAGGTAATTAATGTAAGTTATAGGTGTCATTACCAAGGTTTGATTTGATAATTTCGAATAAATTGAGCATTGGGTTGATTGTTATAAATAAAAATAATATATTTGTAATATCCCAATGAGTAGAAATAGTACAACGTTGTACTATTTAAACTTGGATTAATTTAATTTGGTTATTTATTCTCTGAAGAAGTGACTTACACTAAGCCACGAAACGTCAGAAAAATCCAATTTTCTACTCAGTGGGATATTACAAATATATTATTTTTATTTATAATGTAAGTTATGGTTAAATATGTGAAAATAAGTATTAAAACAATATATAAAGTTTACTTTAATATAGCTGATTTTTAATAACTTTCGTATAAATTAGGATTTATACTGCATTTTGTTACAAAACAAATTACTACATACTACTGTAAATTCAGTTCAATTAGAAAATAATGCACAATCCAAATGACACAAATATTAATCTAATTTAACTTTTTGTTAGGTTTTAGAAAATTATTCTTTTTTTCATAAAATCAGTCCCCATTAAATCAATCAGTTTAATGATGAGACTTGAATTATTTTTTCTGGTTATCCTTTTTTAGCGAGTTAGTTTTCTAGGGGATGGGGCCGCTAACCCCATGCCCTACTCTCCTCCTTTATCCGAGCTCGGAGCCAGCAATAGCCCCAGAGGGGCTCCAGGCGGAGGAAGACCCAGGATAGAGAGGGTTGGAAAATGCTGGTCGGTAGCCTATGCTGCATTGGGAGTAACAGGAGTAAGTAAAAATGAGATAATGAAAATCAAAACGTTTTTTCTCAAAATAACTTTTATTTCTAATCTCATAAGACACAAAATCTTTTTCATTAATTAAAAAAAATACAAACAAAACTAACTAATTCACAAATTAGATAAATAAAACGAGATATTTTTAATTCATTTTTGTATTCTTTGTTTGAATCATATCATTAATGTTTAGGACTGCAAAAGATCAGTCTCTTATTAGCATATGTGCATTTTGTACGGATTGCCTCAATATTGCCTTAAGTCACAGGCATTAACTCTGGGATGCAGGTACATCCAGCTGACGAGTCCCAAATAAGATGAAACACACGTCCTAGGATCCCACTGCTAGCCACCATCCATCTTTGTTTATGAAACAAGATATATTTCATCTATACAAATAACACTAATAAGAATTACGAAGCGAATATTTAGAGAAAGAAAATGTTTGTACTTTAAATAAATTTAACTACAAGAAACTTTCAACCCATAACAAATTTAATTTAATTAGTTGGTTGGTTTTTAGTATCCAACTAATCACTGTTTACTTAAAACTACACTACTCTCTTTTTTAAAATTATGTTTCAGAACCAAATCTGGAAAGAAAAACAACAAAGAATTGTGAAAATCGTATGTGTAAAGCAAATCAGGAAATTACAATATTATCCTCAATAATAATAATAACAATAATAATAATAATTTTCACAGATTTAAATCATGAGTCAGTTGAAGCTAGACCACCATTGAAAACCTGGAAGCACTGGACGGCCGTTTCGTCCTAGTATGGGACTCCTCAGCAGTGCGCATCCACGATCCCGCACCACGCGGGGCTCGAACCCAGGACCTACTGGCTTCGCGCGCGAGCACTTAACCATTAGACCACTGAGCCGACTCATGATTTAAATCTGTGAAAATTTCTAAAATCTCCACAAACCCCTTCTGATAATAATCATCTGCTCACTAGTGACTGACTTCAAGAGATACTCCTGGAGTTCTAGTGGGAAGCCGTTACCAGTGGAGTTCAACCAGGTCTGTTGTGAGATATCAGCTCACTGAAGACAATGGTATATGGTGGCGCAACTTCGTGGATTGGTTGAAGTTAGACATTAACACCGTTGGATGCCGGCTCAGTGGTCTAATGGTTAAGTGCTCGCGCGCGAAGCCAGTAGGTCCTGGGTTCGAGCCCCGCGTGGTGCGGGATCGTGGATGCGCACTGCTGAGGAGTCCCATACTAGGACGAAACGGCCGTCCAGTGCTTCCAGGTTTTCAATGGTGGTCTAGCTTCAACTGACTCATGATTTAAATCTGTGAAAATTTCTAAAATCTCCACAAACCCCTTCTGATAATAATAATAATAATAATAATTCACCAATGAAAATAATGTTTCTGTGGATTCATAAAGTTTGAGATTTAAGCAGAATTACTTTGCAAAATTAGTTTCAATGATTAACTTTATTCCGAAAAAATATCCATTAATAATCACATATTTATTCTCTGAAGAAGTGGCTTACACTGAGTCACGAAACGTCGAAAAATTTAATTTTTCTCCTCATTGGTATATTACAAATATATATTGTTTTTATTTATAACAATCTTTCTAATGCTTAATTTATTCTGAATTATCAAGTCAAACTTTGGTGATAATCAAATCCAATAAATGTATACACCGTTAGATGCCGGCCAGCTCAGTGGTCTAACGGTTAAGCGTTCACGAGTGAGACTGATAGGTTCTGGGTTGGAATTTCGCGAAGTGGGATCGTGCATGCGCACCGCTGAGGAGTCACACAATAGGACGAAACGGTCGTCCAGTTCTTCCAGGATTTCCATGGTAGTCTAGCTCTAATTGACTCATGATTTCAACCAATGAAATTACTATAATATCCACAAAAACCCTACTGATACGAAATGTATCGTTTAAATATTATTCATGTTTTTGTTTTTCTTTTCATTGAATTGAGATTTTACATGATCTTATTTTTTTAAGTTTTTCTGTGAAAAGAAAACATCATTTTGAAGCTTTTTAATTTTATTTGTATATACAAATACACCTTAAAAAGTATTTTATGAAAAGTAATGCAACAAGTTTTCATGTAGAATAAAATATCACATTACTATACTTAAATAACATGATATGTTAACTTTTATAAAATATACTAAAACTATAAGTAGTATGATCGGTTTTTGTTGTGAATTATTTTTCTTAAATAAACTAGATATAAATATTTCATAATTATCATTTCCATTATTATGGACTGATATGTGCTATTATTAATTAATACAATCTTATCGTTTAATTTTAAATGAACTAGATGAGCAAAATGCAAACAAGGAGTGAAGCTCAATGGATAACATGATCACTACAAAGTGTAAATGATCATTGATCTGATCTTAAGAAATCTGTGGGGATGGGAGTAGTGATTATGTCTGAGAAGTTTCAAACTTGGATAAAGCAAGTGTACAATTTAGCTTAGTTTTTAAAAATCCTATAAATCAAAAACATTATTAACCCAACTTGTCTATAATTTTTAATCATAGATGTTGACAAATTTAGACTTTCTTCAATCATGGCTCAATTCACTTCATTTGTTATTAGCCAAGATATACAACAAAAACCCAACTGAATAGTGTAAGTTTAAGTACTCTAAGGATTGAGAACATAATTAGAAATGTTAAGTCTTTACTTTTTTGTTAACCGTCGAATTATGACCTTGTAAAAATTTCATCATACAAATTTGAATACGTCAATTACCTAGTTTAAAGACAGCGTCACACATTAGTAATCAATGAATTGTAAGCTGAGCGAAACTTGAGTTATAAAGACCTACTGCTCTAACATGGAGCTACTTAAAATTTAATTTTGAACCCCATCTGTCTTGATCTTTAGTAGAGACAAACTTTTCTCATCTAGACAATTTACTGTTAAGTAAAAAGTCATTCCTGAATTTTATATCACACTAGTCTTACAAAAATCAGCATTCCGCGTATTATATTGAAAATGGAGTCACACCGTTTTACTTGATTTTCTTTACATAACTTTAAAAGATTTATGAAATAACAATGGATTTACAAACAGATATACGTAGTCCCTAAAATATTAACAAATAATAAAATAGTAAGTAAGATGATTTTCAGAACCTTGAAACCTGATTAAATATGACGGCCTAAAGCAAAGTGGGAAGATGCAATAATGTATTTCTAACCGTTTATCCTATCTTCTGACATTAAGTTATGCGTTATGTTTCACCGAGCTTAGCGACATAACTATTTATTTTCGATATTTATGTGTACGTCAAAGTTATAACGCCAACTGAGATTTATAGATGATAGTGTTTAGAGAGACTGATAGAAATTCGTAGGTATTTGTGACAACCATACCTCATTCTTTGTCATAAAGTGAAGAAAGTCCCAAATAACCTCTCGATTTCATTCAATCTTATGACGTTGATCATCTTTTGTTACTGATCCGGATACTGTTTGAGACGGTGTATGCTGAAAATTTGTATACTGTGTAATGGACAAAGTAAATCCAAGTAAAGTGAAATTTATCTCAGCTGGATAATAGGCTACAGTGGAAATGCCTACTCGTAAAAGCTTGAACGCTACCACCAATGTTAAATACAGCATAACACAATGTCCAACAGGACACAAACGACTCTATCCAGAAATCCTAAGTGGACTAATAGTTAAGACGTCTCACAAGTATGATCCTATACAAAACAAATATACGCAAGTTTAACACTTTATACGAACATTCGTCAATATTAGAACAAACAGTCTGACAAAAATTGGGAGCAGAGTATAGAGAAGTCATTATATGTGAAAATTATATTTGAAATAATCTCGGCGATTGAAATTTAAAATAATTCCAACATTTTGTCCAGCAAACTTGTTTGGACTTCTTCACGGTGGTAATCAAAATCAAATAATTTATTTGATGATTTGATTTTGATTACCACCGTGAAGAAGTCCAAACAAGTTTGCTGGACAAAATGTTGGAATTATTTTAAATTTCAATCGCCGAGATTATTTCAAATATAATTTTCACATATAATTACAAGCTTAACAGTTCAGCAGTAACCGACAGCAAACAAATCATGCCATGAACTTTTTAAAAAAAACTTGTTCCGATGGACACAGACTTAATTACCACATATCTTCGGCCAACAATATCAAAACTAAGAATGGTATAATTAAAATCTGTACGACTAGCAAGATTTATTGGCCTTCAATATAAACACAGTTCGAGAAAAAGAAATAACGAAACAAATAATTTTTTCAAACTCAAATGTTTTAAAGAATATTCAAACCATCTTAGTAATAGTATTCGTCTACGGCTAGCAAACCAGAAGATCGATGAATGCAAACAGAAATATATGAGTGTTATAGAGAAGCCCTACCACGTTATATATTTTCGCAACAATCCAGTAAAGAGAACACTCTCACTTTGTATTTCTTTACTTCTGGTTAGCGTTTTTTAGCGAGTTATTTTTCTACGGGATGAGGTCGCTAACCCCATGTCCAACCCTCCTCCTTTATCCACTTCGTACTTAAAGCAACAGGATTAAATGAATTCCCACTAGGTTAAGAAAACATATGCAAAAAGATTATTAATATATGGTTATTAAATATTTAGGGTCTTTGGAACTCCTAATGTCTTTCTGATATGCCTTCTCAATATTAATGTGTGAAGAAATATGCAGTAACATACAATATGAGAATATGATTATCATTAGTCTTAACTGTTTATATTTAAATATCTACATTACATGTTCAAGCGATTATTAAATTTCCACTAACAATTGTTATGATGAATTATGTACGCCTTATTAATTCGGGTATTTTCGGTTTTGTAGTTTTATCTATTGGTTACATATTAAATTTGTCAAACAGATAAACAAAGCAACAACATACTAACGTTCCTTGTTTAAATTAATGATTGGATAATTGAATGAAGAAAAAATAGTTGGTTCAGTCTAAAAATGAATTAAATAATTCAGCAACCACTCATAGAGCTCTATAAAGGAGTTACCGTATGAGAAACCATAAGGGTATTCTTTTTGATAGAGTTTTGTTCTCTGAGCTGGATGGTTTGGTCGTGGAGCTTTCATCGTTCTTCTGAACGACATTGTCAGCACAAACTTCAGATAGAAGTGAAGTGTTCGAAATTCTTTAGAGAATTTTTAGAAGCCTGGCACTCAGGTCAATCAGCAATCAACAAGCACATTGAAATCGATTCAATTTCTCAACCAGTCAGGAAAATTATGCACAAATATAGGAACAAAAATCAAATCAATGGGAGACACAATCAAAACAAAGGAGTAAACGATGACAAATTTAAGGTCAATGAGAACCAATCAACGTCGAGGTGTACAGAACAAGCTGTGAAACGTATATGGAGAAATTCGAACACTTCACTTCTATCTGAAGTTTGTGCTGACGATGTCGTTCAGAAGAACGATGAAAGCCCCACGGCCAAACCATCCAGCTCAGAGAACAAAACTCCATCAAAATCAGCCACCTGAGCTACAAATCTTCTCCACCATCTCAAGGGTATTCTGCTGAGACACTTGCTATACGAAGTTATGTACTGTTTAAATGTAGAGGGAGCTAATGCACTAACATTTGAAAAGAAACTTCTATTTATGACCCAAAATGGAGTGAAATATAACTTTGGTAAGTGTTCATACCAAAGCCAGCCCAATTACAATACTACTCAAGAGTAACAAGCTCCTCCAAGGAGTATTTGAAACTATCCCGTCATAATCCCTTTACTACTTAATTTTACACTTGAACTTTCTTTTCTTATTCGACATGCTCCAGTCGGACTCAAAAGAGAATCAACCAAGTTATTAAAATAACCGACACTTTAAGATAAATAGTCAGATCGCAGTACTTCTACATGCAGCTATCGTGCTTAGAATTATACTGATAAGTAGTTCTTCAAAGAAATAAAGTATGCTTTAGAATCTTATAAAATTCCCGATGACGATAAACCGAGTAGAAATGTTGATGATCAATAAGTACGACATAAGTGGGCCAAGAACAATTATTACAGTTTTTCGGCAATAGATTTGGTTAAAGCAAACAAACAACCAACCGAGTATTTGAACAATACAGTAGGATGTACTAGAAAATGTTGACTTGTTTGATATTCGGCATTCGGTGTAATATCCACACGAACAAATAATGACTGCTTATTTCTTACAAAGATTACGATAAACACCATACAATTCTTTGATTTTCATATGCTTCATTCCAGTAATGACACAGATAACAAATAAATTAAGTTTATCGACGTAGAGAGTTAGTGACTAAAACAATAGTAGTTGTACGATCGCTGTTCATAAAAGATACAGATACTTTCCGTTTTAGGAATTAGATTTTTCGTGAAATACTTATAATACAATGAGTGTATCTAACTTCAGTGTAAAAGTGGATAAACCTTAACGCCCTCTTCGCACAGCTTGACTAATAAATTTATTTCTACAATCATTGCACATAATAAATCCAGCATGTTCTATATTATTATGTACAGAGACTGTGAGAATGCCATTGACCTGGTTACCACTCAGTAAACAAACAATCACTGAAATCAATCAAATATCATTTCACTATAACTGGTCTCCCCTTCACATACACACAATGACTCGACTGGTGGTTCACTCAAAATTATTAACATACTAGTAAAATAATCTCCCACATTTATCATGGTTAGGCGACGTGAACAAATGATCATCAGATTTAAGCCACGGAGTTGTATAACCGACAACAGAAACAAAACATTACCTCCGACTCGCATCCTGATAAATTATTACTCACTTCGGCTGACAATTTTAATTTGTTGTACAACAATGAAGAAATAAGTGGGGAGTTCTAACTTTTCAATCCCGCTACTGCAATTGATTGTTTGGCTTTCCTAAAGCCAGAAATCCCAGATCGTTCAACAAGCAGACCAGGAGAAATTCTATTGGATATCTTTGCCACTACATAATTTTCATGTGCAGTGATTTCAGACGGAGATATAGTTACGTCCGAAATTACTTCAACTGAACTGTTCAACCGACTCTTCTGTTACATGAATTTCAAAATCACTTTCACTTGTGTTGCAAACGTTTTCGTTTCAATTTCAATTTCGAATGAAACCAAATATGCTCAAAGGATAATTGAATATTATCAGTAATTCACGGTAATAGCAACAAAATTATAAGAAACCAATACTTATATATTCTCATAAATAAATATTTCAAACAGATTTCTAGAATGACTAATAACCCAGAGAACCCTAATTATTATTTCAAAAGTACTTTACAAAATACACTTTCCAACTTATTAAAATGATACGAGGTTGAAGCGTTTTGTCCAGAGAATATCTACAACTCGCAGTAAGATAGCCCGAGATGACAGACTTCAACATTACATAGTCCACAATGTGCAGGGAAAATAGAATTAGATAACGAATTGAAAAACTTTCGTATATAAAAAAAAGAACAATTCGGAACTCAAAACGACAGAAACATGTTTAAAACAAAACAAACAACAGTTTGTCACCATCAACGTGTTTACATAACTCATGTAAAACAGAAATAGTAGACAGTGTTCAAACGCAACATAAAACATCTTACTCTTTTCATAAGCATTTTGGTATCTACCAAAGAAAATGAAATTTTTTGTACAACACATAATTGCATAACATTAATTCAATAAAACATTAGAAAAGATGTACATTTGTATTTACACCAAAAATACCACTTTATAAACAGAATATGTTTGACAGAGTCAATGTCTAAGAACATTTGTGAAACATGTTAGCTATCAAGAGTTTCTAATATAGCTCCACTGTATGCAAGATCCCAATAGTGTTCCACATCACGTTTACGAAATTGTTCGCGTGCGTAAAGTTCTGTGGGACATGCTTTGAATTGAATTTTATCGAATGCACGTTGTTTGACTGTACCCTAAAAAATATGAGCAAAATTAGACATCAATACATGTTAGAACTAAAACATTAGACTGAAAAGCTCTGATGACATAAAAAAATGTCGAAGCCAAGGAACATATTTTTCGCTTATTGGTCATGTTTTTCCAGTCAAATGAAAACACCTAAATCAATCAAAACATTTTCACCTATTATTCACAAGTTGAGATATAACACAACTAGATGGGACTTCATGGAAAACACTGATTCAGCTGTATAGCCATCTTTATAAATACTGGCATCAAGTGCACGCGTACTTCACCACATGAACACGTAGACCCACATTTAGACTAGGAATCTAATTACATGACGCTGAGAAATGGGAAGTGAGACTGTTTATGACAAATTTCTGTAGCCAGCTTCATAGTAAGTTTTAGGGGCTGGAGATTCGCCTTAAAGAATCTAGATTACGATTGAGATAATTCACAAATAAATATCATCCATACTGCCAATACCTTTTGAATCACTGGTAGTCACATACCACTTTCACATTGAATCAAAAGACAAAGAATGTTCCGAATCTCTTAACTCAAACAATCTAATTTTATTGAGCTCATCTTCCCTTCATCTAACAAGAACAAGAGTACTTTGAGTAAGTTAAGACAGCTTCTTCGTAGTATGTTTAGTCTCCCTGAACATGTGGTTGAAG